AATTCAATAGCCTGTAGCAAAGTTTACATCCATTCTATTTCTCGGAACCGTTTTGTACCTATACGCACACACGCAAACAGACATGCGTACACGCAAACATACACTCAATTAGACAATTATGTATAACCATAAATTGGCATAAAAATAATCTAACCAAATTATGTTATACGTAAAGAAATTAATGTTTGTCTGAGTGTTTGTTACATAATGATGAGGTGCTGGTTTGAAGTTCTAACGAGAGGAGGTACAATTTGATGATATGAAGGAAAGCTATGTTTCGAAGGCGTTAATTATTCAGTGTGACTTGACAGTTCGTTGTAGAAGGAAATGAGGATTGGAACAAATTTGTGAAATGTTCTCACCTTAAACCGAAGCAGGATTGCCTTGTAATGAAGACTGTTGTGATTGTGCTAAGAAGTCCTCGGCTTACCGTTCTTCGACTCTGATGAACCCATTCTGAGCTTTCTTATGTCTTGACTTAGCAGACATGGTAAGAGCGAGAAGCTATACTTTAAGAAAAAATGCGCCAATAATCTGTATCAAAATAAAAAGCTGTCGGCTGCAAACCTAGTCAATGTTTAAATCCAATTCTTCTAGCTTTCTGAGGAATGCAATGATTTGCTCTACTAAGTTATGCATACTCTACATGCTTGCAAAGGGGGGTAGCTAATTGATGAAAAGGAAGTGGGTGAGTTCGTAGCTAAATTATGTGGGGATAATGAAATTGACGAGAATAAGGAGTCTGCATATAGCAGACGTAAAGCACTCGTTAGATTTATGAATAAATTCTTTTTAGCCAATTATCTACTAAGATGAATAGGCAATAAATAACGTTTCAATACTCATAAAATGAATGAGTATAGATTGTCATTTAGGGCGGCATAGGAAGATATATGACTACTCGGTTCTTGGTAATTCTGTCCTGTCAGGTTGAGAAAAGTTTGGCTGAACTACTGAGGCAGTGGAACATCAGAACAGTGTATCTATAAACAATAACGAACACATTAATCAGCCATGCCTTTTTTTAAGAATTTTCTGGACCTATTTCTAGATTAGGGTGCTACAGGGTTTTGTGCTCAGATGATAAGGCCCATGTGGAAGATACCTGCCGAAGTATACAGAAGAGATTATCTCAACAAAAAACGCTAAGCAAGACAAAGAATCTGAAACAGCTCGAGTCCGCTTGGCCACTTTTCTCCTGGTTTAGGCTATTGGTCCAGGTTTTCACAAATTATTGCTTTCCGCTTTGACCATTTCTATCACACTGGGATAGAAGGAAGCTCGAAATTGGTCGACCAGAATCACCGGCTGATGAGCTGAGAACTTTTTCCCACAATCCGACAGTTTTTAATTTAAGATAGTCCTCCTTCAATTTCTGGTAAGTCCAACTCACGAATTCCTTCCAAGTCAAACATTTTGTTTGAAATGAAACGTCGCCTAACGTCATTTTGATGATGTCTGCCAGGCGGCATGACAGACGACAGCTCCGCACATTTTCATCGAAACCAAATGAAAAGGTATTATGGACCATCTCTGTCCGGCGAACCAACTCACGGCTAACCGAGGCGTATACGTCTTCAACTTGGTTTGAGATCGAACTGCAGATCTCACCAATTCACCATTTCAGATTTTAAAAATCCAGCTCAATAATGCAATTTCGTATATTCAAACTAAGTAGGTTTCGAGTCTATTGGTACATCTTTAACAGGAGTTTTAGAACTCTTCAAGAGTAAAGTAGCTGGTTTCAATGGAAATAAACAAGATTGCTTAATCGAAAATCCTACTTCAAAGTGTGATATGAGAGAGGCCTGACCTTCCTTGAAAGTTTGCTCTTCCCTATAGCCGAGGGGCACTCATGGCAGTTTGGCGTAGTGGTAACATGTCGAAATTGTATGAAGCACTCTCCAGGTTCGAGTCCTGCTGGGAGAGTTGATTCGACCCAGTCGAGGTCGAAGCTGTAGCTCAGTCCAGTCGGAATGATAATATCTGTTTGGAGACAAGGTATCATGTGACCTAAACATATCGTTTGGGGGATATTCTACTACTAGTCTTTCATCGCCTTATGCTACTCAGGATGATGCGATTCATAGAAAACCATCTGATATTCATGGTCGAAAGTTGTAAATAAATAATTGCAATCTATCTGAATAAGGAGAATGAAACCTAAGAGGATTTTCCAAAGTTTTCCTCGTTTCTTGCATTATTGACGATGCTGACCCCAGCTCGAGTTTCCCGCAGAAACCTGGTATTTTGCATTCCTGGATATGAATAAATTATGAGCTAATTTTGCCTAGGGGTGAAGACCAAACCGGTGTAGTCTCTAGTTAAGTCGCCGTTTTCTTTCGATATTGATAATTTGTTTGACACCGTTTTAGCAACATGGTTGCGCTGTCAGGCAGAGCTTAAAGAACTTACCCTATTCGATGTTGTAATGATAATTTTCACTGTTTTGTCGACAACCTAGACAACAATGCTCATTGATGATGCCCTTGAGATGCTTGATAATGTACCAAATTCACACTCCAACCATGTAATGTGTTCTGAAATCTCTGATTGGGGACACTGGACTAGCGATAAAAACATACAAGAGCTTGAATTAAAGGTACAATCACCCTGGGTCAGATAATGTGAGTAAGAATTAATAACTTAATTTTCCCGCATTGATGGATTAGAAACCTAATTTATGGGAATATAAGTAACGTAGTCGATTGTGCTTGCATGTGATATAGAAGAGGCCTGGCTCTATACTATTCTGGCAATTCGTTTCTACCTCGTTATTTATGGGCACTGGTGGCAGTGTCGAGATTATACTTTGTACTACCTGGGTCCGATTCCCGCTGGGGTGCTGATGAGACCTGGGCGAGGTTGACACTGCATTTCATTTCAACAGGGATGATAAATTCTTTCGGAAAGAAAGGCTAAGTGAAATTCGATTACATTTTGGTTATGGAAAAATCCAACTCTCAGCTCTACATCACCTTATGCAACCTCGGATGACTGGAACTTTTGTTCAAGATTAAATCATAGTTTCAAAACCTGTCTTCTATGAAGACTAAGCCTCAAAATGACATAAATCTGAACTAATCACTTCGTTTTATATCTATTCAAATTAAAATATGTCGACTTTTTGTTGTTGTTGTTGTTGTTGTTGTTGTTATAGCATAGGAATGAACTGATTAGTATTCTTGACTTGGTGATAGCTTTGAGTTTTTATAAAAATAAGCAAGAGCTCCAAGGGTGTCTCGTGGACTGAACTCATCTGAGCATGACCACAAATTAAAGTGATATCCGAGCAACTTAATCATTAGTCGTATTTTGGTCAGATTGAGCCACTAATCTTTCCATCACGCATTTCGATGCGTAAGGAAATTTAAGTCAGCACAAGGGAAACTTAATGGCATCGTGAGGGCTACTCATCTAATTATGGAAAAATTCATCTATCGGTCCTTTATCATCTAGGGTGATTGCAATTCTTATTCAAGATGTACCAATAGTCTCGAAACCTGCTTTATGGGAGTACAAGTACTTTAAGAGCAATTAAACTGAATTAACTCTATAATTATCTATCACTTTTAATTTAATTATTCTAATTATTGTTGTGAGTATGTATATTCAGTTTGTAAGTAGGTTTTCGAGACTACCAGTAAATCAGTTATAACATATGTGTTCACCCTATTTCGCTTAAGGTGATAAGGGGACTGGCATTTGAATTTTCCCACAATTATATGAGTATACCTTACACTTAAACTGAATTTCACATATTTTCGCTTCCAAAAAGTTATTGACATCCAAGAAGGAGTGCAGCTTTGAATTCGCCTATGTCGCCCCAGCAACCCCAGCGGGACTCGGACCAAGATATGGCAGCGTATACTCTTGACACGTTAGCCACACCGTGACATTACCATGAGTGCCCTTGAGTCACAGGACTGATATGAATGTCAAGGAAGACCAGGCATTTTAATATATCACATTCTATGATAGGATTGTCTATAAGGCAAAGTTTTATTTGCTATAACAATCGACTACATTATTTATTTTTTGTTTATAAATAGGCTTTCGAGACTACCAATGAAGCATATATATGGCTTTCCTTGACATTTACATTTGCCCTGTGACACAAAGGCACTCGTGGAGATGTGGCGTATTAGTCGAGCTTATACGCTGAAGAATCATAGTTCAAGTCGCGTTGGGGTGCCTTTTCAAATCAAGTAGAACTATCACATTTGGGGGTCGGCACGCTAAGGGCTTGGGCATAGGAAAGTCATAGACTTGGCATTAGGGATAGGAGAGCGAGAGATACGGTAGAGGCCATTGATAGTTGGCTGTTATTAGATAAGTTTGGCCCATGATTAGTTTAATAATAAGGATGTATTTGGGTTCCGGTATAGGTGGAACATTTTATCTGCGTTTGTCTAGAAAGTATTTTTATGGTAGTGGTGGGGATTATATGTCACTATCGTTTCATTTGGCTTGTCTATCTAGAATGTTGGGAAATTTGAACTTTATTATAACTTGTAAATGTTATTTTACTTCTACTTTAGATTCAACGCTGTATGTAGATTGGGTTCTTCGAACTCATATTTTTGTTTGAAGCTATTATTTTACCTCTTTTCTATTCCAGTTTTAGCCGGAGCAATTACTATAATATTGATTGATAGTAATTTTGGTACTTCCTATTTTGATACATTAGGTGGTGGTGGAGATCCAGTCATGTTTCAACAAATGTTATGAATTTTTCGACATCCAAGGTTTAATGTGTTTTCAATGATGTCATATATGTATAGAACTAAGAAACTTGGAATCACCAATATTTTATTTGGGGATGGTATTAGCAATGCTTTCTATCATTGTTTTAGGCCTTATAGTTTAGGCATATCATATGTTTACAGTAGGTATGGCTCATATTGAACCGTTGTTATGGGGGTTTTGTGATGATGACCCGTTTTGGTTAGTTATAAGTAC